GTGGAAAAAAAGGACACATTGGGCGTGCCTGTAAACAAAAGAAAAAGAGGCCTGTGGCTGGTGGAACAAAAAGGAAAATCTGCATACCATCGAGCAGATGCCTGATGATCAAAGTGACACCTTGTCTGAAGAAGAAATGCTATGCTATGTTTTGTCTTTGGAAGGGGGCTCCCATGAATACTGGGTAACCCCACTGTTGGATGGCAAACCGGTATGCATGGAAGTGGACACTGGTGATCGGGGCTTTTTTGCGGAAAAGCACGTCTAGATTGGCCACGGACGCTTTTCCGCAAAAAGTGCTTTTGCGGAAAAGCATCCTGCCAATCTAGACGTGCTTTTCCTAAAATGCTTTTAACAGAAAACTTTTCCGTTAAAAGCATTTCCGGAAAATCATGCCAGTGTAGACGTAGGCCACATGTGTCATGTGTGAGGGCCCCTGCTCAGGCTGGCCTCTTGCCCCCCCTCTTCCCCAGGTGTTGGGGCTTGCAGCTGGTTTCTGGGGTAGGGAGCCCAGCCGTGGACTCCTCCAAGGACTCCCCCTACTGTTTCTGCTCTAAAGCTGTGCTGATTTACTCTCTGGATACACCTACACTGCAGGCTTCTTGCACAAGAACTGTTTTGCACAAGAGTTCCTGCACAAAAATTCTTGTGCAAGAGTGTGTCCACACTACCACGTGCTTTTGCACAAGAGATGTGCTTTTTCACAAGAGCATCCATGGCAGTGTGGACACTCTTTTGCACAAGAAAACTCTGATGGCCATTTTAACCATCAGGGTTTCTTGTGCAAGAAACCTTTGTTGCCCATCCATACTGCCTTCTTGCGTAAGAGCTTTTGCACAAGAGGGCTTATTCCTCATGGGGAGAGAAATAACTTACACAAGAAACCCTCTTTTCTGATGCTTTACTGTAAATTTACTTGCACAAGAACACATGTGCAGTGTAAATGCTCTGCATGTTCTTGCACAAAAAGCCTGCAGTGTAGCTGTTGCCTCTGTCTCACCTTCCATCCTCTCACTCTCCCCTCCAGCCTCCAACTGGGGAGGCTTTTAAAGGCCTCTAGCAAGCCAGCAATGGAGTCAGCTGGCCCCAATCTGCCTGAGCCAACTCCCTCCCAGCTGCTTCTAATTGTCCTGCCACTCTCTGCTTGTATTTAGCAGGTCTTTTGCCCTTCTGGGGCTCCTTTTCTCCTACTCTACAATAATCCTGTGGCCTGACCCTATCACATAACACTTTGTACTTGTGGATGTGACTGTGGTGATTGTCCTTGGTCTTTATGTTTTCCTAGAATCCAATTGTGAGACAAGTACCAAAGATGATTTTTAGAGTCCTGCAAATCCACAGTTATATCCACTTTGCATCTGTGGATATTCTCTTTGCATTCACACATGTGAATGAGGATATCTGCAGCTCATTTTTGTGGATAAGGATGTAGCTATGGATACAAATTTTGTATCTAGAACCCTGCCAATTTGTGGATATCTGCTTTATATCCATGGGTACCTTTGCATATATGGATGTGGATATCCACAGATCATTTTTGTAGATTCAGATGCGGATGTGGATTCCAGTTTTATATCCTCTAGTGCATGGGTGGCCAACTTAGATGTAGCTCTTTGATTAAGGAAGTGCAGCTCCTGCTGCTTCTGAGCCATGTGCCCGGACTGCTCATGGCTGGCCACTCTGCGCATGCGCCCCAGCACCTGGGGGGAGAAGCGCATGGCAGTGGTGTCAGCTCCAGGACCCAGGCATTAGAGTTCGGGGGAAAGGGGAAGGGTGTCTGACTCTGTGGGAAGGGAGGGGGATTGGGTTGGAGCTGTTGGGGGGAGGGGGAGAGGAAGGGGGTGTTGGGGGGAAGCATCTTAAACTCAAAGTCTTCGCGGGTTCAGAATAAGGCAACTAACACAGATGTCATATTTAAATTCCAGGGGAGGGGGGAATCAGCATGTACCTAGTTTACGCTGTGTTCCTTTAAAGAAAATTCAAAGGCTGTTGTTTCCCAGGCTGAAGTAATTATTTTGAGATATGAGTCTCTCCCTTATTGTTTTTTAACCTCTCATAATTGCAGTCTGGGACAGACCTGAATATTTAGACCTATAAAAAAGCCATAATCTTCATAAGTAAAGAAAAAAAGAGGAAACTATACCAGAGATCTACAAGCTGGAGTGAAACAGGCACTTCAAATTGTGCTAATTTACTTCTCAGTTCAGTTTAATTTTAAAAAACTCACAGGACATAATAGGGCAGTATTAAATTTAAAACACATGGTGAGGATGCTTTTTTTTTTTTTTAAGTGAGAGAATATTACTGTATTTTTAAAGGGTTTTTTGTTGTTGTTGTTGTTTGTTCCTTGTTAAGTTCTCTGAAGATCTATGGACTGGGTATGAATTTTTTAAGTGACTAGAGACTTTTTTATTGGTTTTTGTTTGAAATGTCCTGTAATGTTATTTTTATCACTGCATTTTGTGTACTATCTCTATGTATCTTTCTATATATAGATATATAAAAATAAATACATAATACGTGTCTCTTTGCAGTTTATCCACCGCTATTTTGACTCTTCATCTCTAACTGGTTGACCACCTGTGCTCTAGTGGTTTTCACTCAGTTGAGCTTGAAACTGTAGCAACCAGAGTTGTAATACAATATCAATCAGTTTAAACAAAATAAAAGGCTGCAGGGGTTAAAAGCAAGCTTTGTTAAAGAGCACTGAAAATCTGAATTGCTTTTAATAGCAACAAAGGAATAGGCAATGGGAAAGGGCCACAAGAGATGAGTTTTCTACAGAATGAGTAACACTTTATTACTGGTTTCAGGTTTAGAAGAAATTGCTTGGTGTATGATGAATTTGGATTGTCCCGTGTAAATGTAGGAATACTGTATCTTCACTGAGTTACTGTAAAGTTGGCTGTGTGGGTATATGGAGTTAATTAGGTTGCAGAGTTGTCTGGACTAGGAGGGGTATTCAGGCAGAAAGGGAAGAACAATAGCTCAGCCACTTAACAATACCCAGGACTCCTGACTCTTAGCTCTCAGTACTTCTGAGCTGCCTGAAAAGGTCTACTCCAGCTTGTCTCAGAAAGCACAAGAGAACCAAGGACTTTGGCTGGATTGAGAGATATTTCTTGAAGGATAGGGGAAAAACATAACAAGAAATTAAATGGTTCAGACAGAGACCCAGACCCCAGAGGATGTGGATCTAGGATATGAATGGCCTATTTAGAATGATAGGTAAGGTCAACATGTGTGTAGATCTTGTTTTATTTTAAGAATCTTATTTTCTTAAGTTATGGTTGGTTTCTTCTGTTCAGGTACTTTTGTTGGAGAGGCTTTTGTAGGTCACTTATTTCACCTTTGACTACAATTTTCTGAAGAAGAGGAAATGCCCCTGCCCAGTTGGATCTGTTGGTGTATGCAGGTTGGATCCACAAGATACTATAGGACAGGACTTGGTCTAAGTGTAGGAGAATCACTGGATTCCACCCTAGCACGGTAAAAGCACAAGGCCTTGTACCTAAGGGATGGGCTACTGGGTGCCGCTAGCCCTGTGACTCTGTAGAAAATGAACACCGACATCCAGAACAGTTCAGAAGTTGGTTCAGCTTCTTAGTGTGCATGTAAATATACTGTGATCATTCTAAACCAGGTCCCCAGCTGGTGTAAATTGGTGCAGCTCCAGTGAGTGGATTTATGCTGATCGATACTGATTGAAAGTTATTTTAATATCTGGAGATTTTTAAATGTGTGGTGTTCAATAATTGCAATAATTTATGTGCACAGTCTATCCTGAAGAGAGCAACCTCAGGAGAGGCAAGTTCTGTAATAGCTGTAATGTTATAAGTTCAGTGGTAACCATGTCAACTAGACTGTCACTATGGCTACGTCTAGACTACACGCCTTTTTCGAAAGAGGCTTTTTCGAAAGATACTTTTGAAAAAGCCTCTTTTGAAAAAAAGCATCTAGACTACAATCAGTACCTTTGAAAAAGCAAGCCACTTTTTCGAAAGAGAGCACCCAGGCAGTCTAGATGCCCTCTTTTGAAAAAGCAAAGTTTGCATTACATAGCACCTTTTTTCGGAAGAACACTTTCAAAAAAAGGCGTCTTCCTCATAAAATGAGGTTTTCCGTGGTTGAAAAAACTGCCGTGTTCTTTCGATTTACTTTTGAAAGAACACGGCAGCAGTCTAGATGCAGGGGAAGTTTTTCGAAAAAAGGCCACTTTTTTCGAAAAATCCCTGTAGGCTAGACACACCCTGTGAGACTGACTAAACTAATATAGGCAGTGAACCTTTGAACATGCCTGAACTAGAGCAGAGGTTCTAAGCCTTTTTTTTTTCTGAGGTCCCCTTAACATACTAGAAAAACTCAACAGGCCACCAGTGCCACAACAACTGGTTTTCTACCTCTGAAACCCAGGATCAGTGTTCTGGGATAGGAAGCAGGTCAGTTTCTTGGGGCCTCATATCACAGGGGACCCTCAGGAAGCTAAATGGCTTAAGCTTCAGCTTCAACCTGGGTGACAAGGTTTGGGCCTGGACTTCATCCAGATGCATTGGGGCTTTCTGCACTGGACCCCAGTGAGTTTGCTTGCCATGCTAGTTAGCTAAAACATGCTTGAAAGTCCCTCATTAATGATTTTTAGTTGAGAACCAATGAACTAGAAGTGTTCAGCAGCCGCATTGGTATGGGGTGGTCTACACTTTAGAGCACGGGTGGGGAACCTCAGGCTTGGGGGTCGGATGCAGCCCCTGGCTTGCCTGGATCCTGTCCCCAAGGCTCAGGGCTCCCTCCCAACATAATTGGGGAGTCCATGCTGCTGCTCCAGTTGCACCTGTGCCCCATGCTGGGTCCCCCCTAGGCAGGCTCTGGTGTACAAGGGGAATGTGGGGAGTGTCTTTCTGCTTCTTGGAGAGCCACATCAGTGTACACAGTGAGGAGTGAGGATTTGTTTTTTTGTTTTTGTTTTTGTTTTGTTTTGCTTCTCACTTGTGTGTGGCCCCTGACTGATTTTTCTGTGGGTCAGTGGCTCCTGCCTCAAAGAAGGCTTCCCACCCTTGCTTTAGAGTCTCCTGCAGCTGTAGCGCTTTAGTGAAGACCTTACCTATACTGATGGGGTGGGTTCTCCTTTTGGCATAGCAGTAGCAGTATAGATGGGACTCAGAAGCTCTTCTGTTGACATAGCACTGTCTGCACCAGGGATTAGGTCTGTATAACCGTGTTGCATAGTCCATGCAGTTCTCATTGGTCAATTGTTCTGGCCAATGGGAACTGTGAGGATGGTGCTGAGGGGTAGGGACAGTGCATGGAGATCCATAGCTGCCTTCCTGCAAGGGATGCACAGATTTTCTATGCCTCCGAGTGAAATCATTATACTGACTTAAATCGCTAATGTAGACCAAGGCTAAGCGTGAACTGACTGTTCAAGCAGTTAAAATCTTTTCTCTTGACTATGATGCCTGACTAAATATACAGGTTGGACCCATCTGGTCCGGTACCCTTGGAATCAGCCTCGCTCCTGGTGGCTCTGCCAATCCCGCGGCAGCCTGCTGTCCCATCGGAGCTCCTACTGGTCCCACTGGCTTTGCAGCAGCCCTGCCACCATGTGGGAGCTCTAGGTGGCCCTGCTTTGCTGCAGGCTTTGGTGTCCTGCTGGCTCTGTTGCCCTGCTGACCCTGCTAGTCAGCTTCTCTCCAAGCTGCCGGCAACCTCTGCTGCTGCGGTTTTCTAGTCCCACAACATATTGTCAAACCAGCGTGTCCTGGAGCATAGAGGTTCAACCTGTAGGGACAGGAAAAAAGACTGAGTCTTGGCACAGATGCTTTATGTCTTTCAACTGATGTATATTAAAAATACCATCGCTCCCTGGCTGTCCAAACATTTGCATATTTTAATTATGCTTAATTAAATAGTTGTCATTCCTGAGGAATTTTAAAGTAATAAAATTATTATTAATACCAATCGGTACATCTACGCTGCATCCCTAGTTCGGACTAGGGATGCAAATGGAGACGACCAAAGTAGTTAACGAAGCAGGGATTTAAATATCCTGTGCTTCATTAACAGGATCTTTCCAGCACGCTAGTTCGAATCACAGCTGATTCGAACCAGGAAGTGCGCACCGGGACGCGTTAGTTCAGACTAGAGCCCTTAAATGAGTAACATAATCTCGCTGGCACGCACTTCCTAGTTCGAATCAGCTGTGATTTGAACTAGCGTGCCGGCGAGATCATATTAATGAAGTGCGGGATATTTAAATCCCCGCTTCATTAACTACTTCGGTCATCTCCATTTGCATCCCTAGTCCGAACTAGGGATGCAGTGTAGACGTATCCAAGTCTAGTAAAAATGGCAGACAATCGGTTAATAAGTGCTTTGGATCTGCTTTGTTTCCTGTTCAGTAGTAGCAAGAAGCTCAGGCACTGCTGGAGGACCATCTGCTGCAAGGACAAGGAAGGTCAGAGAAAAAAGTAAGCTACTGTGATTGAAGGGTGAAAAATGCAAGGGCAGTGGTTTCTACCCCAAGGATTCTGTCCTAAATGTGTCCCTCACTCCAAAAAATGAGGAGGACCTGGGATGCAGCCTGTTATTTCAGATTTGGGTGATCAGAAAAAATCACCAGAAAACTTACAGTACTGTGGGTAATTTTGATTTACAAATATCCTGGTAATTAAGATTTAAGAAGACATGTATACAGTATTGAGTGTTATTTAAACACCAGTTTTTACTAAAACAAGTCCTGTCAGAGTTGCCAACTCTTGTGAATTTTCCTCACAACATTTGATCTTTTTCTTATTCATATATCCTGGATGGATATGGTGAGGTGAGATACTTAGCTCTTATTGTACAAGGATAATTAAGTATCTAACCTTTAAGGCAGAAATGGTAAAAAATGTTGACCCAAAGGCATCCTAAATGGGTAAAACCATTTCCCCTCCTTCCAAGACACAGAATGAGTTTTCAGACAATCTGGAGGCCTGATTCACCATTTACTAATGTTGTGGGTATTGTTGTGCTGACTATTGGGTGAAACCTGATTGAAGCTACTAGTGGGTGTGACAGCCAGTTTTCATTTAGGGTAAATGTAAGAAGCAGTTAAGCTCCTTTGTGGAAGAGATAGCTGAAACAATAGGTATCACCATCCAAAACATAGGCTACATGCAAGGCTGCATGCATTCTGCAATCTGAGCTGAGTGGGCAGAAGGATTTGACTAGGGACTGAATGGAAACATGGAGGCTGGGTTGGGGTGGGCAATAATTTTTGCAAGGGCAACACCCCATGAATAAGTTGTCACGGGCTGCACATTTCTACTGTATTAATGTAGGGTATGTCTATACTAGCTCATTAGTTCCAGCTAGGTAGGCAAATGAGGGAAACCAGGGTTGCAAATGAAGCCCGGGATTTAAATATCCCGGGCTTCATTTGCATCTTCCCGGGCACTGCCATTTTTAAATCCCCCTTAGTCCGAACTCCGTGCCCTTGGCTACACGCGGTACGGAGTAGGTAGTTCGAATTAGGATCTCTAATTCGAACTACCGTTACTCCTCGTGGAAGTGCAGGAGGTACCGTAGGGGGTGCAGGCCCCGGTCTGAGATGGAGTTTGGGTGCAGGAGGGTGCTCTAGGTTGGGCAGAGGTATGGGTTCTGTAAGGGAGTTTGTGTGCAGGAGAGGGTTCTGATCTGGGGCAGAGGTTTGGGGTGCAGGAGAGGGTGTGAGGTGCAGGCTTAAGCCAAGAGGCTTAATTTCTAAGGGCTTCCCTTGTCCTGCTTGCAGGCTAGGGGCTTTATCAAGAAGTGCATGATCAGAGTCAGACTGTAGAAAGTCAGCTAGAATAAGGTAGATTGAGTTCTGCCTGTCTTCTCTCTCTCTCTGTCTCTCTGTCTCTGTCTCCCTTAGGGTTGCCAGATGGTTTCAACAAAAATACTGGACACACTTGACATTACATCACAATCTACATTACATCTTATTTAGAAATAACGGACATTTATATTTTCTCAATTTGTTTCCCAAACAGAAAGCTCAAATACTGGACTGTCTGGTTCAAAACTGGACACCTGGCAACCTTAGCCTCCCTCCCTCCCTCCCTCTCCTTGGTATACTCTAGGGAGTTATTTTGAAATAACAAGTGGAGTGTCCACACTACCAGGCTTCAGAGAGTGTTTGCTTTCTGCTGTGTTCTAGGAAAGAGAACTTTGTGCCTTCTTTGTGAATAAACAGGACTGAATTAGAGAAATACCTCTCTCCAGCATCAGTTGCTTCTTCTCATGGAAACAGTCTTCAAGACCCTAAAATAAATGTTGATTAACAACTCAGGCCAAACAGAATTTATCAGTCTACAATTCACATTGCCATCTGTACTCCTACTAATGCTATAATCAACTAGCAGCTTTAAAATAAATGTATTATGTAATCTACAAGTTCAGGTTGTATAACTGTTTACATGGACTAATATCTATACTAAGTAGTTTGAGCACCATGTCATTTTGAATCACTATTGAGCACTTTGTATCTTATCATCTAGTTCAGCCACCTGATCAGGATGTTTTCTATGTTCTTCCTATAAGTAACCCTGTAAGTAACCCATGTTCCTCTTCCACTGTGGGTTGCCCCCAGGAAGCATACAGATCAGTGCTATTTAATCAAAGGTCTGTACTAATTATACTGCACAAGAGGATTTGCTTACAGCAGGGGTTGGAAACATTTTCTGGGTCCGGGGCCACTGTCCCACAGAAAACTCTAGTGTCTCTCATTCTTGATATTTCTCTATGAACTTCCATTTCCTGGTATGGCGTAGTGGGGGTGCTGTCTGCTCTGTAACCCGGGGTCCCCCTGCACTGTGATGTGAGATTCTCACTGATTCTCCCAAATGTGTATTAACCCAGACACCAAGGCTCCGCCACCCAGGGAGAGACAAAGCGAGGAAGGCGGAGACCAGCACCTGGCTGGGGAACAGGGCCTGGGAGGGTTGCAGTGGCTGTCTGGGAAGCATGGAGAGAAGAGGCTAAGCGGAGGGCCAAGGGGCGATGGGCCCTAACCCTAGGGTCTGAGGCATCCTGGCCCTGGCCCCTGTAGCCACATCACATATGTGCTGTGCTGTATTCTGAAGGAACAGTAAACCCCTCTCTATTCTACGACTGGTGGAGTCTGTTCTTGTGGCTACGGGGGTGCAGGAACGGAGGAACCCCAACTGCGTTGTCACACCTGGTCTCTTCCTTTTGGTTCTCTGCAGGTTTCATGACTTGAAATTTCCCTCATCCTAAGGCATTTTCAGGATGGCTGAGATTTCTAAGAGTTGCTAATATCTACAGTACTATGTATTCATTCTTTTCTTCTTGTCCCAAAGAGTTTCCCTTAACTCAATTTCTCAAGCCTTGTTTAAACACAGCAATTTAATGGCATTATAATTACCAGTATAATTTTTCCTGTGAACGCTATCATTTAGAATAAAAGTGTCCTATTTTTTGGTTTAACTTAATTTACTTTGAAAATTAATTAATTAAACTAACCAAAGGCTGCTCTTATTGCAAATGACTGTGTCCTCAGGTAGAATTGAACCACTTTTTCATGTAGGTAAGTCTTTAGTCTCTTTGTTTGGCTGTCTATGCTACAGACCTTACACTGCAAGGCAGGGGTGGGCAAAATTTTTTGATAGGGGGCTATTCCAAGATTTTGGAAAGTGGCCTAGGGCCGTACTTTTCTAAAAAGGAGGGGTGGGGTCTGGGTTGGAGGTTGGGTGCAGAAGGGAGCTTGGGATAGGGGATGGGATACAAGAAAGGGTGGGGGGGTCTGAGAGGGAGTTTGGATGAAGGACAGCACACAAAACTTGCCCCTACCCCAGCACAGAGAAGCAGGTAGAACAGTCATCTGCTCTGAGCTCTGGGGCTGCTCCCTGCCTGTTGGTCCAGTGGGCTGAGCTGCAGGCTGGACTGAAAGGGTTGGTGGGCCATATCCGGCCCCCAGGCTGTATCTTGCCCACCGCTGCTGTAAGGCCTTCAATCACCGTCTCAATGCCAATGGCAGACAGCTCTCCTGACAGCTTAATTAAATTATCCCTAAGGAACAATGATAGGGGAGCTTTGGCAACTAAACTTCTGGTCCAGGTATGTGTTACTCCACAACCCTGACCAACAAAATTTTTATCAACAAAAATGCTAGTGATGATAAAGCCTTAAAGACTTTTTTTCTCTATGCTGAAATTTAGTGAGCTTTTTATCTTTAATGAGAGGGCTTTATTGGGCAGCAGGAGCAATCAGAAGTGTTGCAAAGCCAAGTGTTTTTTTTCCCCCAGTACCATAGAACCTTTGTCCATCTTTGTCATTGTAACCTCTCAGTCTGGAATCTTTGTCTCAGAGTTCACCCATTTTATTTTTCCATCTGTCTCCCCTGCTTCTCACTACTTTTATTATTTCTCTTTTCTCTTGTTTTCCTCCCTCCTCTTCCTGCTTCTCTCCCCTGGCATTCACACCTTTTTTTGGTTAAGCAAAACAGAAGTTTGAGCAAGGAGATGAGAAGGGAAGTGATAAGTAGCAATCAGAGGGTTTCTGATCTAATGGCTTTCAGTTCTGGAGTGGCATTTTGTTGATTCTCTTGGCCTAAAGCAAGAGGGCACCTAATTACATCTTGCCAAATAAGGCACAATACAAGCTGCACATTTAAATGTCTCTGATGTGCTGCCAATGTTCTAACAAACGGATCCCACAAAGAAACATTCTTCTTTAGGCTATGGTAGACTTTATGTTCAGAGTTGAGGCATGTGCTCAGAGCAAGGGGTATGTAATCCCTACGTAATCTGTTTCTTCACCCCCTTTTCTCTTTCTCTCCTGCAACCACACTCTCATCATAACCACAACCAAAGAGGATAGCAGCATTCTGGGCACAGAAATTAAGCTGCACTTTGACACTTGACACTGTGTCTTGAATGCCCTCCTGGGTGTATAGTAAGGAGCATTGTAGACTGCTCCTTCTTGCACGAAAGCCCCTTGCGCAAAATGGCAGTTCATTAAGTATGCAAATGAGGCATGGCGATATTCATTTGCATATGCTATTGTGCAAGAAAGTGCAAAGTAGATGTAGCCTAAGAGAGTGTGGCCAGCCCAAACCTAGGGCATATGTTTTAAAAATACCACCCCTTTGGTGCAATCTACTCTGTATGAAAGGGGGAATTTCTATGGCCTATGTTTTACAGGAGGTCAGACTAGATAGGGTAGGCAATAGGCTCACTGTGGGCCAAATCCAGATTGCCAGATACTTTTGAATTGATCCTGAAATATTTTTTGTTTACTTATTATTACCATTTTTTATTTTATTTTATTTGGAATCTGGACTATGACTATACTTTGACCAAGAAATCTGGAGCTTGACAAAAAAATTGACTATCCCTGGACAAGATGAACACTATAGCCCCTTTTAACCTTGGAATCTATGAATTTGGTCTTTCAGAAGTATTTTTTTAATGAACCTCAGGAGTAAATTCTTCTCTTGGCAGAGATGGTTGAACAGTGTCAAGAGTGCGGGTGAGTCCTTCAGAAACAGCAACATCACCTTACTTTTGATGTTGGAATCTTATCAGGGGGTTCCCAGGATTCCTGAACCAGTTTCCTGTTTGTGTGTATCTGCCTCATTAATTTCCCAGTTTGTTATTAAACTCTTTGGACCAAATTTATGTTCAGTGTAAGGCAGCAGTGTTACAGCAGTGATGAATCTTGTCCATTGGCAATAATATATTCATTGATATACCCAGGCCTGCTTATAGGGGGAGGGGAATAAAAGGAGGCAACTACCCTGAGGCCTAGCCATTCTAAAGGGCCTGGGGTTCCTGGCCATCACGTGGCAGCTGGATTCCCAGGCCATTTAAATTGCCACTGGAGCCCAGGATAGTGTGCTCCAGGCAGCGCTAAGGGCTGGCTGGGAGGAGGTATGACATGGCACAGTCTGGGCTGTGCTGAGGACTGGCTGTCCCAACCCCACCCCTTCTGCCTGATACCCCACTCCTTCTGGGAGTGTGGAGCCACCGTCCCACTCTTTGCCCAGGGACCCAGCAATTCTGTCAGCCTCTCTGCCCATACCTTTCAAGTTGAGGTTCCAACAGCAATATTCTGTTTATGTGCCTGATATAGTCAGCATATCTGTATTATGTGCTGTGGAGTCACTTGCTAAAGAATGCCATGAGGGGTTACCTGTGCCTTCATGTCAGGGGCAAAATGAACTCCCCACAGGCACTGCATCTTGAGGGGGAAGATGGTTGCTATGCTGTGCCTCGCTTTGGCCGAATTCAGTGTGTTCTCCCCTCACACAGAGGACCAGCTCTTCTGCCACTATTGTGGGGGCAATGTGTGAGAGGGGCATACATGGTCACATGCCCCATCCCTAAAATGCTGAGGGAGTGGCAGAGTCAGAAGGGAAGTGGCACAGCGTACAGAGCCTTTCCTCTCTCAGGCAGCAGCTGTGCTGCACTGGGCAGCATTTCAGGCAGGCAATGTGTCCGGAGACTGCCTGGGAAAGTGCCTTGGAGAATGCACAATGAAAGGACAGAGCACCCTCTTCTCCATCAGGTAACGTATTATGGGACAGATAGAATGTGGAGGAGGAAACAAATCACGTGGGTAGTCACATGGTTCCCCTCCCAGCTGGTACCCCTTTTTATGTACCTTCCACTGGTAACCTCATGACCCATTCATCACCAAAGCCATTCTTTGTGCTTAAAGTTAACATGCATAAGTGTTGGGGGCCTTGGATTGTGTCTACGTCTATAGTGTATGATACACTTTCAAACTTGATTATGGTTTTGGATGATACTCCAATAATAATAATTTTACCTCAGCCAATAATTGAATTTTTTGGTTCAAGCTGAAATGATAAACCAAACTACAATGGTTTGGGTCAAATTTGGGTTTTGATTTGTTTGCTTTTTAAAATGTTACATTGTCTGGTAGCTTTTTACTCCTTTTAATTTTATTCCTTTTAAACTAATTTAGCTAATTTTTTACTCTGGTAGCTTTTTACTCCTTTTAAACTAATTTAGCTAAATTTTTAAATGAAACATCTCAAAATGAAAAGCCAAAATGTATTTGGCTGAAATGATATGCTCAGTTAATCAGCCTGAATTCAGGAATGGTATTAATTAATCCAAAAATTGATTTTTTGGTGAATAAACATATTGCTAAATAAATAAAAAATTCACCAAGCTCTTCCACTACCACTACAAATAGTAGTAATAACAGTTTAAATGTGCATGAAATATTTTACAAAAAATTTTGCATTTTTTTTAAATCACCCATTAACAGGTACCAAGCATGGAAAATTTCAGTCCAAAATCTCTGTGTGTGTGTGCACGCACAAGAGAGAAAGCAGTTTATAGTTGCCCCTATATGTCTTCATATAGGGGCACTGAGGCACAGAGAGGGAAAATGTTTCAAATTGTTATATTACAAGACAATGATAGCGTAGGGACCAGAACTCAGGTCTCTCAACTCTGTCTCTTCAACCAGAAGTAATTGTTGCCTCAGAGTGTAATATGTGTTACTAGACAAAGAACCATCCTCTACTGACTTTGAAATGCTACAACTATTGCTACCATGTGTCAGTTGGCCGAAGTTGGCACAATGTAAATTGAAGAGAATCAGTCTTATGTACCACGTTATTGATAAAAGTGGCACTCCAGTAGCCATCTGTCTTGATCCAAAAAGTATTTCCATGCCCAAGTAGTTGTTGTTGCAGGAACTTGAGTAAATGCAACACTAAGGCTCACTGTAGCCAGCCAACAGGTTTTTAAAGGTGTAAAAGCTGTTTATACTAGTTTTTAAAATGTAGTATTTAAAGCATATTAGTTAATACATTTTGAAACCCAACCTATTTTCCTACTTTAGATATACTCACAAAGTTGCAACAGTGCCAGTCTCTGAATGATCAACTCTTAATTCACTAAAATCAAACTAGGACACAGCAGAGTCCATGTTGTTCCATTTCTCAGCTTCATTGATTTCTCTGCTGTCTCCATCTAGCTGTATCTGTAAACTTCCCATTCATCTCAACTTGAAATCCTGTTTGCTGTTATCCTCTGTAAATATATGGAAATATACTCAGCTTGGGATTCTGATTGGCTAGCTCTCTTTCAAGTTCTCTTGTTCAGTTCCTGCTGTGTTGTTCATGCCCTCAAATGGCTTGGAAATGTTCTCTGGGAAATTGATCCTGCAAGATTCTCCCACTCTGCTCCAAGTCAGGAAAGCACTTAGTCATATGCTTAAATTGACTGCAGTGGAACCGCTGATAAGCTTAAAGTTAAGGCAAATGTGTGTGTGCTTTGATGGATTGGGGCCAGAGTTCTCAATATCTTGAAGGATCAACCCTTATTCAGCTAAGATTCCCAAACAGATATAGAGAACAAAAACTCAACTGCTATATCCTAAAGCAGAGCAAAATCCTACATTGTTATTAATCCAAACAAAGCTATGTTGAAATGCCATCTTCTGATGCTGAATGAGAGGTCAGGTTAGAATCACCTTCATGCAATTTGCACAGATAATACACAAAGGCTGTGTCTACACTGGCAAGTTATTCCGGAAAATCAGCCACTTTTCTGGAAAAACTTGCCAGCTGTCTACACTGACCACTTGAATTTCTGGAAAAGCACTGACGATCTAATGTAAAATCATCAGTGCTTTTCCGGAAAAACTATGCTGCTCCCGTTCAGGCAAAAGTATTTTTCCGGAAAACTGTTCCAGAAAAGGGCCAGTGTAGACAGCACAGTAGTGTTTTCCGCAAAAAAGCCCTGATCGCGAAAATGGCGATCGGGGCTTTTTTGCGGAAAAGTACGTCTAGATTGGCCACGGACGCTTTTCCGGAAAAAATGCTTTTCCGGAAAAGCGTCCTGCTTTGTTAAAAGCATTTCCGGAGTTACAGTGGGGAGGGAAGAGAGGGTGAGAATGCACAAGACAGTTGACTGGATTAAAAGCAGGTTGTGTTTCAAAAACAGTGAATCTTTGTGGCTTCATCTAGACTGCAAACCTCTTTTGAAAGAGGATTTTTTAAAAGATACTTTGAAAAAGCCTCTTTCGAAAAAGAGTGTCTAGACTACAGCCAGTACTTTTGAAAAAGCAAGCTGCTTTTTCAAAAAAGCTTCCATGCAGTCTGGATGCTCTCTTTCGAAAAAGCACAGTTTGCATTACATAGCGCCTTTTTTCGAAAGAGCACTTTTGAAAAAAGGTGTTCTTCCTCGTAAAACGAGGTTTTCCGTGCTCAAAAAAACTGCCACGTTCTTTCAATTTACTTTTGAAAGAAATGGCAGCAGTCTAGATGCAGGGGAAGTTTTTTTGAAAAAAGGCCATTTTTTTAGAAAAAACCCGTAGTCTAAATATACCCTGTGAGTGCTGACATTTAGATTGAGATGGATGGGTACTGGAGTACCACCTTGCTGTACATGTATGATTGGTTCTCTTTTATTTAAGTGCACACTGGTGAAAAAGAAAAAGATTCCATTCGGGCCCTTTTCAGTGGTTGCCACTATGAGATGGAATGTTCAGTAAGCTGATTAAATGCCACCTTTTAATTGGCAATGTGTACCTCATGTAGTATGTACAGTAAAGTATGTATTGACAGAATAGAATAGGAATTTGTTTAGATAATTGAAATTTGGTTTCAAAGTGAGACTCTGTAGAGGGGGAAACAAAAAGCAAACAAAAAACCCTTCACATGTCTTCAAAATAAGAGCTAAAA